AGATACAATCCTATGGAATATCACAAGCCAGTGATCTCAATACAGAAAGCAGACCCCCAGTACCATGAATACTCCCTTGAGTAGAGAAGTGGTATATAATTTTTTTTTTTAAATGCCACCTTCTGAATATGGCATGACAAAAAAGAAAACAACCACTATGAAACAATGCCCCCCAAAGCTAAAAAGTACTGAAAGGCACAAAGAGAACTAGCCCTCATACCCTATATTCAGTTTCTAATGAAGGTCATTCATCAAGGTGACCAAAACAATTTGGAACTACATCCTGGCAAAAATCTCAACTGAAATGATTATCATCATTTTCCACACATGCCTAGAATTACAAGCTTACCAGCTTCTCAATTACCTTAGTCAAGAATAGTACATTTGTAACCAGCTGATACCTTCTTCACTGCCTTCATAGATAGGAAGGAATACAACCCTCCCTCCAGGAAATATTAATTGCCTTCTTTAACCATGGGGCCAAATGTCCCCTGGCCAATTTAATCAGGAAGGGCAAGGATGACAGAACCAATGGTAGCCCTTACCTCTGCAAACAATTTAACTTCATCATTTAAATCCTTAAGCAAAAAAACAAAACAAAACCCAAGTTGTTACCATAGTAGCATCATCATACTTTTCCCTGGCAGTGGAATACAAGCTAAGACAGATCTGAGCAACTTCATCCACAAAGCATGCTCCAAACCATTCACAGTGAGCGAGTGATTGCTCTGAGCACCCCCCCCACCCGAAAAGCAGACAAAGATGCATCTACTGAGACACAATGGAAGGAAAGAAGCAATCATCATTGTCTCCACCAGCTCAGAATACAGCTCCAAAAGGAATTTTAATACACGCTTGATCTCATTCATCTAAGATTTCCTCGGTTGTCCCACACACTTCATTACTTGCAGTTCCTCAATTTGGCTCTGCAGTAGGGAGGAGAACACTTACAGTAATAATGTCTACTACTTAAGCTGCCAGTAACTAGGTCAACAGTTGCTCCCAAATAGTTTTTTGTCACCCAACCAACATTATTCCTTAGTGCTAGGCCCAAACAGAAACATCCATAAACACCTTTACCTAGTGAAAGAGGGTTCACTTTTCTGCACATGCTCATACATTAATGGAAGTGAATGTTCATTCCCCCCATCCGCCAAAAAGGAGAGAGAGGAGTGCTCTCAGTCTCCAGGCCTAAGGTCTTCCCTAGACAGCCAGACTCTTCTAACAACCAGGTTTGATGAGCAAATGGGGTAACAATCCCTGACTCCTGGAAAGACAGGATGTTGACCATGAGCAGCCAAGGATCCCAAAACTTAAACTACTTCAGAGGAAGATCCTGAATAAATATCTAGTCAGACAAGTGACAAGCCAAGTCTCCTTCCAAACAAATACAACCTTCCTTCATCTTCTGAGATTGCTGCAAATTGCCATGGACTGGACTGGAAAGGGAATATGAGCAAATCTAGAAGGGTAACAACTGGTTATGCAATTTTCTACAGCTGAGATGGACCACTAAGGCCCCATGGCTGCATGCAGCTCCCCCAAACACCAAGAATCTTTCACTATTTTAAAAATTAAAATGAAAAGTGAAATGAATCTACACAGCGTTTTGTCCTATTACAATTTCTTTGTCATTGTCCCATCTACTTTTAGGAAATCAAACCATGAAAATGCTCCTGCTTGATGGGTAGGCTTGTCATATGATGAGACCAACAAAACTGGGCATACAATTGTTGTGCTTTTGCTGTCAAAAAACAAAGTGAGCATCTCACAGACAATATACACTAACATACCTGACTCAGTTGTATCAAAAGTTGAAATAACTTTAATTCAAAAGCCAAGCCACACATCATTGACAGGTGGCTATCAGCTGAAGAACTTTGTCTTTATTTACTTACTCTGGGTTAATTGAACTATGATTTATTAACCCAGTAAGCATAACCATAAACTAATCAGATTAGCTTAGTTTGCAGAACAACCAGCTTGGCTAGCTTACAGTCTATTTTATTTTGTGTTCCCCAAAATTCAGCTCAGTTTTTGATAACCTTCCTGGCAGAATATGAACTTTCTGTCCAGAAACCATTCCTAATAATTTGGCAGATTTGGCTAATTCTAGTGCAGTGTTTTCCGTGTGTATTACTTTTGGAATTAATTCTACAAGGTGTTTGTTAGAGGAAAATGTTATGTTGGAAATCAACTCTATATAAAGATTTGGAAAATTCTTAAAAAGAATCAAATAAAATATTGCCTTTTGTTTGCTGACTAAGTATATTCATTGAAGATATGATTTAGATAGTTACAAATATTTCCAGAATAGAAGTTCTTAGGTATCCTTTTCCATTATTGTGTTAATCTTTTAAACAACTTCAGCAATTTTAGGAATGATGCATTGGTTTGTGATACATTTAATTCTTTTTCATTTGATTGGGACATATTTATTACAGATTTGTGTTTGGTTGCCCATACAGAAACTGCTAAATTGAATCTTTACCAGGATAGGTGCCAATATCTGTCAACCCCCATATTAAAACCATTTTTAAAAAAGAACTGCTTATTCATCTAAATGTTTCAACAACTCTTTTTCTAACATCTTTTCCAGTTTTTTCTCCCCATCCATAATTGTTGGCATGCACCAGAGAAAAATAATATGTACTCTAATGGAATTCAAGTTAAATTGTAAGAAATAAGAGCAAAGTTTTTATCCTTCATATTATTTATATTCATCTGTTTTGCTCTTTTCTTGTTTTGAGATAGAGATATATTCCTCCAATTTATGTCACATATCTTTCATTATTCTGGTTTATCATCAAAGCAGCTTAATAGATTACAAGATAATTATCAACACAGTTAAATTCAACAGTGATTTCAGTAGTTCACAGTTCAGTTCAACTGTTCTGGTCAAAATACTTTGCACTGTTCATAATAGTATAGCAGTTCTCAAAATGAGCAGTCATTAAGGGTTTAGTGTTATAAATTTTTATTTATTTATTTTGCCTTCGAGTCACTGTTGACTCCTGGTGACTGCCTGGACATGTCCCTGCAGTTTTCTTGGCAAGACTCAGAAGTGTTTGCCATTGCTTACTTCCCACAGCTGAGAGGGACTGGCCCGAAGTCACCCAGCTGGTTTTGTGCCTAAAGTGGGACTAGTACTCACGGTCTCCTAGTTTCTATCCTGATGCCTTAATCACTACACTGAAGTGGTTCTCCAAGTATTATAATACTACAACTTTTTTTTTTTGTTATTGTGAACCCAGAGAGATCAGTTTATAAAATCTTGCTGAGTGCATCAGCTATCTAAATCCAGATTACTGGTTGTGAAGGGTAGATTTTTCTTCATTCTAGCTCCTTATATCTGAATTTTCTTCCAAGGAAAACCATAAAAACTGCTTGTTGCTGCCTTTCCAAAATTTAGTTAACCCATCAGTGTTATTCAGAGGGTTTGAACAAGCTATAGTTTTAGCATGTTTCTGTTCTGCACTAATCTCATTAAGGTTCTGGAAAATATTTTAAAATTCTTAATTATCCAGTGTATAAGTGTTCTTGAGAACCTGATGCTGGCCAAATTTAGATCAGAAAATGAAATGATCATTTTAAAAAACCCACAAATATAATGTTTATCTTTTTGTATCTTTGTTGATAATCAGATTGTTTTCTTCACATTTGTAAGGTACATGATATGTTTTTATGTATTGTTCTGGTTTTTTCTTAAGCTGAGGTGGGAAACAAAGCAATATAAAATAAATGAACATATTTATTCAGTTCATTCTTGCAAGTAATCAGCACATTTGAAAATACACGTTCACGTGTAATACTTCATCCTTCAGCCTAAAAGATAATAGGAACATACAAGCAAGGATGATGTGTAATCATATCTGAGTTCACTAATTGTATATAACAATACACAGCTATAGTACCATGTGGTCTATAATCTTAAAATACAGATTTTTTAAAAAATGGAAATAGCTGTAGTTTCTTTGCATGCCAGTGAGCCTGGTCCAAAGGAGGAATCGGCTGAATAAGTATTTTTCTTTTTTCCCTCCTCAAGGACAAAAAAAAAGAAAAAGAAAAACATATGTGAAACAGCCTTTAAGGAAGAGAAGGTAAAGTGTCAGGATGGAGAGAAAGACAACTTATTATTTTGCCTCTCCCCGCATTCTTGTTTCTTCTATCAAAATCTTCAGAGTAACAGACTGAAGAAAAAATTGATACAGCAAAGATTTCCCTCCAAAACCTTTCTTTAATAAATTCTCATACTGTGTGAAGCAGGGATGGGGGGCAAATTTAATCTTCACCAATATTATTCCCACACATGGCGGCTATGGTATTCAGCAAACAGCCTGGTTCACAAAATGTGGCTTGTTTTTGGCTTGTGAGGCTAGATTAACCCATCCATCACTATTCTGCATACCATCTGAATCAAGTCACCATTATTTATTCAATAAGCCATGGTTCTAAATAATCATGAACTGTAATTGGTCCATCATTTCCAATCTATAGTTCTGATCAGTCTTGCCCTTCTAGATGTATTACACTAGGCACCTTCCAGATATATTAGACTAGGGCAATCCCAATTCATTTTGGGTGACCACATCCACATACCTATGAGTTTTTGGCAAAAGTAATCAAGTGGTTTGCTGTTGCCTTCTGCCAGAATGTTTTAAACGCCCCTGTCCAGTTTACAGCTCTAAGATTTCCTGTTGGTCTCTCATCCAAGTGTTAGGCTCCGCCAAAGACTTCCAAGGGCTGCCACCTGCTGTGACCATTATGTGAGGCTACAGAGTCCATAATCCCAGCTGGGAAAACAGTGAGGATCCTACTCAAAACTCTCTCTCGATGATGGGGAGTTGGGGAAGGACAATGGTAAGCTCAATTTCCTCTTATGCTACCTTTCCTCATACACAGTCTACCTCAGGATAAAATCCAGGATAAGACTGAACTGGGAAAAACCTTTCTATCTAACTTCCTCTTTGCATTTCCAGCAGCAGCAAGCACGCGGAAGCGAAGCGTTTTGGGTGACACCTCCCCAAATCCTCCCACTGTCTGCAAGCGGGGTGGCGCAAATGGAGTGCGGGGCACCCGCGGATGAGCCGGGCGGGCGCCTTTGCCCGAGGCGGCTGAGCGTGGCAGAGGAGAGAGCGCGCGCGCGCAGCAGAGCTTCCTCTCCGCCTCTGCGTCTAGCAGTCCCAGATAGCAGCAGAAGCAGATGAGACCCGCAGAGCTGCGAGCGCGCCCTGCCACCCTGAGCACGGCGTAACACTTCACGGCCCCACGCGCGCGCCCAGACACAGACACACACACGCACGCACGCCCTCGAACGCGACAGCAGCCAGGAGAGCGTGAGCAACAGCCCGTCTGCTGTGGGCGCCGCAGCCCCTCCGCTCCTTCACCTGCCCTCCGCCGCGCCCCCAGATCGCTCGGCGTCGCCTGAGTTCCGCCTGCCTCCTGCGCCTCTTTTCGGTGGCGACTAAGAGGAGACACCATGGGGAAGGAGCCGCCGGGTAGAAAGGAAGGATGCGACTGCAAGCGATTCCTGAAGAACAACTGGCTGCTTCTCAGCACCATCCTAGCCGTGGTTCTGGGTGAGTTGGTGAGACCTTTCGGGAGGGAAGGCAGGTGGTGGAGGAAGGCGGCTGAAGCGCTGGGTGGGAAACGCGCTTTTCTCGGTGTGAGTACGCTTTGCTCTCGCCCGTGCCCACGCTCGCTGGAAAAGACAATGGAGGTATGAAAACAGGTAGTTCTGTGTGCAAATAACCAAAAGAAAGAAAGAAAGAAAGAAAGAAAGAAAGAAAGAAAGAAAGAAAGAAAGAAAGAAAGAAAGAAAGAAAGAAAGAAAGAAAGAAAGAAAGAAAGAAAGAAAGAAAGAAAGAAAGAAAGAAAGAAAAATATTCCTTGAAAGAATATACAGGCTTGCCGTTTTCCTCTGGCAAGGAGGAGGAAAATCTCTTGGGAGCAGATGAAGATAAATTAGCAGATGAGGGTTAGACTGGCTGAGGAATAGATCCCCATGTGATATCACAGTCATATACAGTATAGGGTTAAGGAAAATTCATCAGTCCTGTTGCAATTATGGAAAAAACTGGAAATGAACAGGTCATTCATTTAATATCCAAATTGCTAGTGTGGTGAAATACTGCTGATACTGAAGAGCTGGTTCAGTACCGCCCTCTATAAAAGTTGTTAAAATTAAGAAATCATAGCACTTAAATTCTAAAATCTTTCTATTCTGTTTAGATGATTCTAAAACCATCTGTTTAGAAATAGGTCCCATGGAGTTCAACAGCTTCATGTCTAGCTTGGTATCAGGTGTGATTCAGTTTATAATCTTACACCGTTTCATAGGACTAGTCCCACTGCCGTTAATGAGGGTATGTTCATCTGAGTGAACATTCCTTTCCTTCCCATTCAAGTGCCTCTGCCTTCCTCCAGTCTTTCAACCATGTCATGATAATGAACAGATTATGAAGGTCTCAGATCCCTTCTGCGAATGTTTTATTGGAGATGTGTTGTCTAATCTAAAGTGAAACTGAATGGAATTTGTTTCTCACTAGGTAGATGTAGGGTTGCCAGCAGTGAGAGATTAAGTGGGTGTGTTCAGAAACAGGTTGTTCTGTGTTTGGAGGCATTTATACCCAGTCTTAGGACTGTGGAAGCATGAAAGTGGCAACATCTAAGTGAAGTTGGCTGGCTCAGAACAGCGAAGCAGGGGTGGATCTAGTTGGTACTTGAAAGGAGGGTCAATCGGGAAATTTCATGGCAATAACCTGTTGGAAAGAACATCCCAGAAGTAGGCAGTGGTGAACCTTTCCCATATTGTTGTCAAGGAAACAACATAAATGTCCCTGTTTAGTCATTGGGAACTTGACTTGAGAGCATCTCTAGCCTTTCCAACCCAACCCAATGTTGGAAAGAAATTAGGTAAAGGGGCACGATCTCTCTGCCTCTCAGCAAGATAACTGTCTGAAGGTGTAACAGGATGAGACAATATTTGGTGTGGAGCAGTGTTTTTCAATCTTGGCAACTTTAAGATGTGTGGACTTCAATTCCCAGAATTCTCCAGCCAGCATGCCAAGTTTGCCAAGCTTGAAAAACACTGGTGCGGAGGAAGAAGTCTGCAAAAGAAATAGCGAGTTTGAAAATGGGCCTCATTAGGCTGGGGGTTTAGAGGAAGAAAAATCCCCCAATGCATCTCTGTGGGAGAAGCAGTTGAGCAGCAAGGTGGAAGATTTGTTACTTCCTCCATTTTAAGGCTCCTTCCCCCGACCACCCCACACACACCCTGGCCATTGGCCCAGAGCACAGAATTTGCAATCTGCCCTGTGCATCCTCAGAAACATCCACTAATGCAACACAGGAGGAACACAGAAACTCCGAGGCAACACATGGGCCCCACTGTGATTAGACCCTCACACACACACATACACAGATTCAATATGCAGTATTGAGTTAGTTCACAATATGCAGTTACAATATGCAGTATGGTATTAGTTTATTAACTGGAAATGTATGGCTGCTGCTGGTAAAGGAATTAGAAAGCATTCAGGAAGTCATGTGGGTATGTTTTTCCCACCTAGTTTAAGGATGTATAGTGACCGCAGCATCAGTCTACTTTCCATTCCTGAAAGTGATGCCACCACTTTCTTTGTTCTCCAAGCCATATGAAGCACAAACTGGTTTTCCAGTGTAATTATATACTAGAGACTGTATATATCCTATAACTCATTTCAGTTTAAATGTCCTCAGTATCAAAAAAATATAAAACACCCTTGACCATTGTTCCCTGCTAAGGTGTATTAAATAATTATTTTATCTCCTTTATAAACATTAGTGTAACCATTAGATGTGTAAATCAAATATATCCACCTAATATTAGTATCATGCAATATTGATCTATTGTTAGATGCTAGAACCTCAAAAAGAATTCTGTAATGGTTAGAAACAAATGAATGCTAGAGAAAAAATGGTTCCGTTCCCGCTTTTTTCTCAATGTTAATTTTCTGTTCAATTATTATTTCTCTCAATATTCCAAGAATACCTTATTATATATAACAAGGCAAACTACATTCTACTCTTTTCCAAAGTAACTGAATAATAATAAGCTTATGCTCATATGAATTCCGTTAATCCCGTTGAGATTTAAAGGCAGGACACTGCTTTGGGATTGGGGCCTTAACTACATACATACCCATTACACTATTTCACTTCAAGGGAGGCAACATTAAGAAAAGTGCAGAAAAAGTAAGAAATAATAAGCCAAAATAATTACGTCATGAAGTAAGAGAAAGAAAAAGAGATATGCCAAATCTACCTTATGCTAACACCATTCATTATACTGCTCCATATTTTTCTGTCCTTACAAACCATCTTTGCTTCAGTACACTGCTTCATACGTTGCCTTTTCTTCTTTAAAAGTCTCACTTCTCTCTTTCAGAGAATCTCATTAACCCCATCCAAGAACAGCTTTCTTGGTCTTCCCTTCCTTCAGATATTTGTTTTACATGTTGACCCTCATTCATTCTCTCTGTATGATCAAACCCCCTGAATGTACATCTTTCATACTGGTTACTTACTTTTATATTCAATACTCATTCATTTATTATTCATTCTGCTTCTTTTACTACACACACTTCTTACATAACCCATTCCCATTGTATTCAATTCACTTTCATGTTTCTCCTGAAATAGTCAGTTCTCACTTCTATATAACAAAGTGGGTAGAAGGACAATTTTATACATCGCCCTTTTTATTTCTTTTATGAAACATTTATTCCTCACAATAACCACATACTATATTACTGATCAGCTTTCTGCCAGTATTTGCAAAGTTTAAAATGTTTCTCTTTTCCCAATAGTATTAAATATTTTACACAAATTAAGCAATTTGCTCTAGTTTTTCACCATTTTCCCTGTCTTATGCAACTACTTTTATCTTTAATATATTAATTTCAAATCCATACTGCTCACTATATCACTTTGTCTAACACTCTCTGCAAATCATTCACATTCTCAGCCAACAGTCCCTCCTGAACGTTGAACCGTTTCCTTCCCATTGAATTTATTCTCACTCATGTTTTATTTCCATCATACTTTGCTCTCATCTTATTCGGCAACCAACCTTCAACTCCATACTCATGCATAACCTTCCATAATACAAGCTCATTCACCATAATACAAATGCTTTCTATAGATTAATAGATTTACAATATTTTTTTCACTGAGCTGCTAAACAGCAAGAATCTGGTCTGCACAGTCACAGTCTGGCATAAAGCCAAACCACACTTCTCTAATTTTGAGTCAGAATTCTGCCAAATACTATTCCCCCGTGGTTTTTGCTTTTACTCTTACTACCATTCCCTTTTTGTAGTGGAACAATTACTTATATGCTTCCAATTGTTAGGCGCAGACTCAGACTTTGCATGTATCTTAAATATCATACAGTCATTTCATAAGTAATATCCATTTTTCCAGGTACACAGGCTACACCTGCAGCCTTACCATTTTCGAAAATTCTCATGGCATTTATAACTTCTTTTTCATCAGTTTTGTTCTTGGACATACTGTTTTCATTCCCGTACCTAGAATACTAGCATTCTTTCATTTCAATTTTATCCTATATCATTTAATCACATTTAGTTTTAATTCCTTCAATCTGTTGGAGGCTTCTTATTTAGTTTCTTTCACTCAGTTTCAAAACATTTTTTGTTTCATTCTGAATTTTTAATGCAATTTTTTCTTTGTCCTTTCTGAATTCATTATTTGCAATCATTTCCCCCCCCCCATATATATATGTATGTATGTGTGTGTATATATATACATATATACATACATGATACAATACTTTATCTTTCTCTGAGCCTCCCTTTTGGCAGAATTATTTCCTTATATGTATTTTTTTTCATCCATAGCCAGTATCACCTCATCATTCCACCAAGCATTCTTTTCCTATAGTGTAGCCTTGTTTCAATGGACTAATTGCAGGGAAGGTTTTCCGTTATTGACAAATGTCCAGTAAATCAGCAGGTATGACATTACAGCAGTTTGCAACATTTGGATAATTACATCATTATGAAATATCATACAAATTACATCATTGTGTCAATTTACATCATTAGGAAGTGATGTACATTGCAGAAGATATGAGGTTTGATGTGTACAAAGTTCATTACATCAAGGTCTCACATATCAGTTTCGTTATACTTCCTGTTAGTTCTCTCAAACAGAAACATTAGTTCAGCAAGCTCCATTAAATGGGAATTATATCTGAGTAGACATGTAATGCCAGTGCACAATTTCTTAAGAGTTTGCCACATTTGACCTGATGCAAATTAACTTTGATGCATTGGAACTGATTTTATGTAATCCTGTATGAATAAATTATATAATTAATTCTAAGTATATATATCTATAGTAAGTGTAAATCATAAAGTTAGAATCTTGAGCCATTTTAAAACATTTGGGGTGAAAGTACACATCACATTAATTTTTTTTAAAAAGTATACTTAAATTACTCATATATTTTGAAATAAAAGCTGTCAAGTTGGATAAAGAAACTGCACTCTGTTCTAGCTGAATGTTCCCCTCC